CCCATCCATCCATCCATCCATCCATCCATCCATCCATCCATCCATCCATCCATCAATCCATCCATCAACTCTATGTGTATATTTGAAACGTCCTTCTGTTATTGAAACATAGCAGCAGAAATATTTCTATTGCGGATTCAACATTTTATTTGTGTGCACTTCATATTACAGGTAAGGCTTGTTTAATTCTATTGTTGTGCTCGCCTCGAAGCACAAAGAAGACGCCGTATTCAGCCTGTGTTTCGTCCGCTTAGAAGATATATGTATATTTTATCTACGCTGTAATCAATTCATCTGTGACATGCTGTCAATGGCAAGCGCTTATCTTTGTGTGTGTGTGTGTGTGTGTGTGTTGTTGCCTTTGATGAAGAGTTAAATCTGTTTCTGTTCTTTGCCATTTGTTTTTCAGGTATGCATTGCCCGTAAAGAGGAACGTAAATGAAAATGCACTGCTCCATTGTTTCTTACAATCTGCATCGTTTGCGAATATAATTTATGTCTTTCAGTTACCATGAAATTGCTTGACGAGGAGGCGGTGTTTTGTTGATGGATTTTTTTCGCCGTTTTGAGTATCTAGATTGTCTGTGTGTTATGATCGAGCTATTTTATGCACATGTATATATTTTATTTTCCGAAGTGTTTTATTCCGGTATATTAGATCTATGTATTTTTTTCCATCGTTGGAACATTATGGTCATTTTGCTGAAAAGAATGTTTAAACCGTATTTCTGCTACAGTGACTATGAACTACAGCTAAGTCATTTGAAAGTGTGAAAAGAAATTTGTTTCAAAGAGTATTCAAAATCTATAGACGAGGCGTGATTGAGAATTTAACTGTCTGTGTACTCTTTGTTTGATTGTGTGCCTGTTTACTTGCCCGATCGTCTGTCTTTTAAGTAGATTCACCTATTGGCCTGTCTAGTCTTTCTATAATTCTTTAAATGTTTCCTTGTCGGTAGATTTAACTGGATATTACACGGTGTGGTACTTGCCTGAACCCCATCTTTCAAATTATAAAAAAATAATTAAAAAAGCTGCCTGAATTGGCCCCATTGGCCATAGCAGAAGCCACAAATCATTTCAATCCCTATTAAATCTATATTTTATGTAAAGAAATAGCTATGCTTCTCTGTAGATATATTGGTCGTGGCTGGACATTGATGGACGAACTATTGTCTTTACTACTGTAGTTTTTATTGTATATTGTACGGTATGCCAAACGCTTCCACTACATTTTTCAAGTTCCAAGAAGGTTTCGGCTATGTTAGTTTATTAGTATCGTATCCCTTCCGACCTCAAGAAACTCTGGGCTTTTTAAGGAGTTTTTTGTTGTTGCTAGAGAGCTCCCCTCGAATGTGCGGTGTATGGTGTGTTTCAGACATAGCGAGTGTTCTTCTACTTCCCTTCCAGTTGTATGCCGAACATGCTAAGAAATGAAAACTTCCAGCCACTACAGGGATTTCTCTGAGCGGTTCATTGGCTTCTTTAGCCTTCCCGTTCAAACCCTCAACTCAACCCCCC